GTTCAACTGAAATGTATGGCTGTGCACTTGGGCGATTAAGGAATATTGAGCATTAAATACACGGTACTTATGGGTAGAAACCTCTTATATCATGTATCGATTTTTTAATAACTGAATACTCAAGTGATAAGAATCGCTTTTCATAGTACTCACAGCATTTCCGTTGTAGCTTTAAGAGTTAAGCTCTGAATTCAGGACTAATCATTGGCCAGTCAATCGACAGAACTTTCAATCAATATTGGCCGCTAAGCTGGCCAGATTTAAGACGAGAGAACTATAGGAAAATCCACGGAAAATCTGTGAAGGAGAAAGAAAAGAACCTGAGATGCCTTACCATATACCTTATAAGCTCTGTCAGCAGGAGCGATCCATTTGATTTATGTATTCATTGTTTCGTGGCTGCAAATCCCGTATAGATAAACGTGGTCTGGGTGTATTCAAGCAATTTATGAAATCCCGTCCCGGGGCGAAATTTCAGACCCGCTCGGCTGGCTGGATGGCTGGTTGGCAGCCACAAGCCATTCAATGTCCAACGGGATTAGAGACAAATTAAAATTGTAATATTTTATTTATGTGCGTTGTTGCTGGCACTGGCACTGGAATATAACCACAGCAGCAAAGGCAAAAGCAAACCGAATTGGAATTGCGGCACGTTGTCCTTTTGGTCCTTGGCTTGGCCTTGGGTATTACGGGTTAATTTGTGTGTTTATTGCAGTTGGCCAAGTTCGGCTCGGTGCTGCTGGGTTGGGACTCGGATTCGGACCATCTTTGGGGAGTGGGCAACAGTACCGCACCGACACTTAAACGTATTTACACGCAGCACAGTAGCAACAACAAGTGGAAGTAGAGCCACCACAACAATAAAAAGCCACCGAAACAGAGATGGCAAATGGCAAATGCCGAACGGCAAAACGAAATATTGTAGACTATTTAAAAAATTTATGTGCGGATGTTTTGCCGTCGGGATATTTCCGGTTTATGATGATTATGTTTTGTGTGCGCTTCCTCTGCTCGCCGGTCTCTTCCTTTTCGTTTATTTTTAACAAGCGGATTACTTGGCGCCACCCCCAAGTTTTCTCTTCACTTTTTTTTTATCCCCAGCTCACTTTTCTTTCGGCGCTTTGTTTGCTCCCACTTCCACTTCCCCATTCATCGTGCATAATAATAAACATAATTTGGTTTATTCTTTATTTTTTATTCACTTTTTTATGTATACATTTGCCTAGCCAGAAAATTGTTGCGTGTGTATTTTAATTATTGTTTTGCAACTGCCTTTTTATGTTTATTGGTTACTTTTTGCTGGTCTGGTTTGATTTGCACGATGAAAGCATTTAAATTTTTGGGGGTTTTTTTTGCAACACATATTGCAGTAATTTATGTCTTCCAGGAATAATAGGAAACCTTTAATGGCGATAAATAATTACACATTTCAAAGAGGTGTACGAGAGAAGAAATCATTTTAAGGTTCTGTGTGCTAACCAAAATGTAACTCTGAACGGCCTTAAACTTTCCAAAGGAGATTTTAAAATCGACCAAAAAAAATCCTTCAACTGGTTAATAATAATATATTCAATTCCAAATGCCATATCACATCATAAAAAATATGTAAATATTCTTTAATTTAGTATATGTCATATAAATGCTTTTGATTTTGCATCCCTTGAATATTTAACGAGAACAATGCTTTACAATTTCTCCACCCCTATTTCACTCTTAAGGATCCCCTTTTTTAGGGTCTGACAACGACAAATAATATGTCGCGCCATGAAAAAAAGAAAATAATAAAGCAAGTGGAAATTAATTTGCCTGGAAAACCCAACGAAAAAAGGGGGAACAAGAACAAGAAGCCTGAGAGTAGCAAAGCGAGATACCAATAACAGGGCTGGAACACAAAACCCACAGAGGAGGGCGGGGTTTTGGGTATTATTTTTATTTCTTTATACAAAAGGCGACATCGTCTGGCTTTTATTACGCTTGGCCATTCGCTGTTGTTGCTGGTGGAGGTGGTGATGGTGGTGCTGTATGTGGTGGTGGTGGGGCTTGGTCAATGGCCAGCAGCCACAAAAAGTAATCTCTGAGCATAAACGCATATCCTGGACTGCAATTATGCCACCGCAATTTTCATTACCGCACACGACATGGCCAACGGACATGGACATGTGTGTATGCGCGACCCGAATGCCTAAATTTTGATACACATTTCGGTGTTGGCGGTGTTAAGCTCTGAAACGCTTATTAGGCCAGGCCAACAAGCTGGAAAAAGCACACAAGGGAGTTCAGCAGAAGAAAAAACAATAACTGGGCCTTAACCCAACAATGCCGGAGCTGCATGTACGCCTCATAAAAGTCTAATTAATTAAAATCGTGCCCGACCAGCCAGCGGCAATCCCAAAGCCAATGTGCCAGCCTCAGCGGCAACCTCGGCGTCAACGCTGCGTATGCGTAATGCGCTCTGGGACTCTTCCTCGACGGCTGGCTGACTGGTTGGCAGGCGCTAATTAAAAGCCTGCCGCATAACTTTTCTAACCAAAAAAAGTGTATAAGACTCATAGGAAAATGAAAATTAACAGTATTATCGATGTAACACATCGGAAATGCTCTGTAATTAAGGTTGTAATATAATATAAGATTAAAGGAATTTTAAAAAGTCTGGCCTAAAAAATATGTATAATATTTAGTTTTAAACCTAGATTTTTCAATACTATATAAACAAGAAGGTACTGGGTTCTAAAATATAAGGTAAATATTTAAATATACTATCTAGCATAAATGTATGATTTATTAGACCATTTCAATAGAAAGAGTTTCAATTCAAAAAATCATATAATAAAATGTGCCACATATTTTTTTAAATTTTCTTACTTTTTAGAAATGTAGATCATACAATAACATCTATGCTTTTAATTAATTCTTATTTTTTATGTAAAATAGTAAATAATTTCCATCTTGTTTAGAATTCTTGAAATTCTTTGAGAAATAGTAGTATATATTCTCTTCAGCCTATCGGCAAAAGTAGAAAAGCTGCTGGTCATATCCCAATTGGGCGACCCTTCCCAGTCAGGATATGTGTTATAAAGTCAATCGGCCCGGGAAATGTTAGTTCTTGCCCCTACATTAATTCCTGTTTACCCTGCACCAGTAGTATCAACCCCCAGAGAATGGGCCGCAGTGATGAAAATCACTTTTAATAAACTTCTTTCCTACTATTGATGATTTTTATTGCGCGAGGTTTTACCGAGCTCTATCCTGGATGTTAATTAGATTTTATTATGCCCATGTCTCTGTGTGGGTGGCTATGTGTTTTTGTCCTTTGTGCGCTTGTGACGGGGGCCAGATAATGCCAGCGGGGATTATGGCTTATTAAAAGGCTTATGAAAGTCAAAAGAAAAGTTTACTTAATTTCAGTTAGTTAAGCGCCAATGAAAGCCGCCCACTTGAGTATTGGCCAAGAGCAGCGCAACTCGAGCGCCATGGCCAACAATGAGGGACAAAGTTTGCCATGGCGCCTCTGCCAAATGGCCAATAAAAATGGCCTTACTTCGGGTCAACTCCACCCCAAACGCCCAGTGACTCGCGAGGCTTTGGCAATTTTACAAGAATTTTCGGATTAGACTCGACGGCACTTTATGGCCAGCACATAAATTCAAATGTTGCAAACATAAAATCAAATAAAAATCTGCAATAAACATCAAATTGACAACACGTTGAGTGCAATTTTGGTTCGGTCCTTGCCGCCTAACTTATTAACATGCCAACGTTTGGCACACATTTTTTTCCCTGTTTTTAGGTTTATTTTTTGGGTATAAATAAATTGACATTCTTGTGGGTGAAAAACCGCTTTTTATAGATTTTTGTTTTCAATTACTAGTAGCAGTTTCAAATAAATTTGATGAGCTGGAAATACGGTGGGCATTGACTAACTATGACTGTAATTCATTTTTAATTTAGCTACTATTTTTATTAAGCTTTCCAAATTGATTACCTACTTTGTGCGATCAATTTTTAAAAGCTCTTTAATCAGAAAAAGATACCTATGACGACAATGCAATTAATTATCTAATCAATAAACCAAGCAAATAAATGCAAAATCCGTATCTGAATGCCTGTATTTATTTGTCCATTTTACGGAGCGATTACTGTGGCTGGGTCTGTTTTTATGCGCAGTGCGTTCGCTACCTTGGCTATCGATGGACCGTCACAGACATTACGCCCCAGTGGTTATGAAGGGGAAGTTATACACTTTCGGGTGAACCTTCAAGTTCGGTGGACTATTCGGCATCGACTTCTTCTGGTTCACGTTCCTGGGGTTTTTCACCCAGCAATTGAGGGAGCAATTGTGCGCACTTTTTTCATCTGCCTGTCCTGTGCATTTTAATGTCCTTTTTTCTTACAGTATTCCCTTTTTTCAATTCCCCTTTTATTTCCTTTTTTATTTCGGTAAAAAGAGTTGAAAGCATGCTGGGCACGTGCTGATTGATGTAAAATGCGTAATGAGCGCGGTTATGTTTATGGGCGAAAAGAGGAAGGACCGGAGGTAAAAAGGTTTGGATAGATAACAATTGAAGGAGGCAAAGTTTTCTAATTATAATATGGGTGGCAGATAGGTGGGGAAAACACTCTCGCTAGTTAATGCCATTCTACCTATATAAATTTCAATTATTTGAAGTATTAATTTTATTATAACCTGTGGAATGAAATAATAAACAAATGTTTACCCACTTTCAAATCTGTTAACTGATAACGCAAGTGGAAATATTTAATTGGCGTCTCCACGGTCGTTAGCAACTGATAAGATAATTAACTATCAATGCGATAGAACCATTTACAACTAATAACTTTTTTTTTACGCTACTGACGATTATACCCTACTCATGTCAATATACACATATATAGCAGTTCCATGATTATAATGTTTAGTCTACAAGCATTAAGCCACAACCTTAAATATTTTTGTTTTTTTAATTTATATTGAAATATACCATTACTTATCACCATTTAATGCTAATTTAAAAACAATTAAACATTTTTTTTATACACTTTTTAAAACAAAAGTTATCAAACGCATAATAATTTTTGTTTTGTTCATTTCGGGAGAACTGAATGGGTAGATTCACGCAATATAGCAATGTTTACCTTACCATGGGTACATTAAAACGGTACTCCAGGTTTCTAGTTACCAATGAGACCAATTTCCAGCCAAGGAAGAGCACGATGATAACACTCAATCCGATTCGTCCAAAAAGCACCGACACAACATCCACGTTATAGTATTGCATTAGGGACATTTCCTGCTCCGCAATTCGCATGTGATCGGCTCCTTTATGTCGAAGGATATATTCCGTCCACCAAATCGCCGTCTCTATAGATGACATTGGCTGATCATGAAATCGTTGGGATAAATATTTGGAATTTTGCTTATAGCTAGCATTATACACGAGATCCTCAATAACCTTGACAACTGCGTCTGGGGAGAAGTTCATGACATCCAATCTCCTGGCCACGCCCAACTGTTCCATACGTTTGGTATTCTGAAACTGGTCGTAAAATAAGGGTGCACACAGCTGGGGAACTGCATAGTGAACCGCCTCGATGGAACTTAGAAGACCTCCATGGGTTATAAAGAGCTTTACATTGGGATGATTAAGGATCTCTCGCTGTGGAAGCCAAGATCTTGCATAGATATTCCGTGAATTGTTAGCCATCGCTGGATTGTTCATTTTCCAAATTACTTGCTGTTTAATTTGCTGAAAGGCCGCTAGCATGGTATTTACCATTCCCGGAGGCAACCACTTATCCAGAACTTGCAGGCCCATCGAAAAATATATTACACCATGTTCGGCTTCATCTAATAGCTTCTTAAGTTCATCATCCAAGGGATCCGTGGGTTCGGCCAAGTGCATGCCCGCCACTTCCACGATATTGGGAACATTACTGCGCACTCGACCCATGCTGAAGTGTTGATTGATCAGGATCAACGAAAATTTCCGGCGCAGTTCATGAATACTAGCCGAAACTCCGGAAAAGTGCTGCTTATAGAGATCGATTTGGCCTGGCAGGTAGATGAAGCGCTCCACCAGACGCTCCTCGGTGATGAAGATCAGGTTGTGCCACTTCTCCATCAGACTGAGTCCAGGTGAATAACCCAGGGCGGACATCGGTTCGTAGACACTGGGTGCTGAGTTACCAACCAGGAAGTCAATGTTCCATGCCGATCCAAAGGCGGCAATCCCCACCAGCGGCGCATTGAAGTGTTGCGAGAATCCGTAGAGGGCATCGGTGTGGGAGGCCTCCAGAATAACCATCGAGTACTGGGCACTGGCGTTGTGGAGCAGCTCCTGCACCCCGGGATCCTCCAGGACGAATTTCGAACAGTTGTAAAAGTATTCGGACACGAACTGAGCCTCAATCCATTTGCTCATTTCAATGTCGAATCGTAGTCCAGGAGTACTAAAAAATATTAACATTTTTAGTTTTAGACTAAACCTTTTGGTAACATTTTAGTTTAAGTAACAGTGCGTAAAGGGTCATTACATTGCCTTAGCATATCCATTTGGGCACTCGTATGTGATGGACACCCTCTATGTGGGGCATTTCCTAACGGCTGATATGACAGTCAGCTGGTGACCCCGCTGTACGAGGCTCTTCAGGAACGGAGTGATCAGTAAATAGAAGAGCCAAGGTGTACGAAAATATGGCCAAAATGTTTTCCGTTTGGGCCAATTTGGGGCACAGTAGGCAAAGAGCAGAGCCGGTAGCAGCAGTCCAGCAATGCCCGGGCCCCTAACATCTCACATAAATCGACCGTACATGCCGCTGACCGAAGTATACTGCCCTAATTTTATTTGGTCGAAATACAAACTCTATGGGGCAGGCAATCTAATCAGCGAAATAAAAGCGAGCGAAAATGCGCAAGAGTTCGGAATGAAAACTCTTCAGTTAGTCAGTTGAAAAGCGGGTGCTCGACCGATATGTTTCCACGGGGGATGGATTCTCCCGATGTTCTGGCTGATTTCGAACGAGATCTGCTGGATACGCGGATCGCGAATTCTCCTCATCGCCCCCTTTGAGTCGCATTCGCAGTGTATGCTAATGTCACCCTATATAGAGGCCCTAAGCGATCGGGGTCACCAGCTGACGGTGATTCATGCATATAAACACTGCAAGCTCATTGAAAATGTTACCTTTATACGTATAAGGGATAATATAACGTTTACTCAGGTATGTGATAGTGGGTATAAGCGACGGGGAAACCTTATAAGCCCATTGATGGAGTCTAGTGCACCCAATGAACTCAGACACTTTATAAGATAAGCTAATTTGCCCCCATACCGTTTTCAGACGCGAGATAACAAAAATCGATGACAATCTCAAGTTAATGATAAAGGTTTTTAAAATGGCATGCTAACGAAAACAAATCGATTGATATTATATCTCAATAATGTTATACTAAGTTGGGTCCATGTTGCTATGCAGGGTTTTTTTTTGTAAATTTAAACATATTTATATTTGTTAGATAAAAAAATATTATTTTTTCTTTTTCACTTTAGATTTTGAAGAGTTCATGGGAATCGGTTCTACGGCCAGCAAGTGGGGAGAAATGAATTCTATGACAAGAATAATGGTAAATTGTTCGCTTAATATACTTCACAACTTGGAAGTTCGATCCTTAATGCAATCGAATACCACATTTGACTTGGTGGTTTGGAACCGGGCTTTACCGACGTGCTTTTCGGGTTAGCAGTTCATTTCGATGCCCCACTGATCGGAATTTACACATGTGTATCTGATTGGAATACATATAACATGGTGGGCCATGTAACGTCCATTTTGGAGAGCCAATAATGCCCCTAGGCTTAAAATCTGTGCGAAGTGTTTGGGATCGCATCTACAATTGGATTTACACCACCGAAGAGTGGCTGTTGATAAATTTTGTTTTCCTACCGAAGCTGCGACTCGTCTATGATCACTTCTTTGGCCATCTCAGCAGAGCTTTATGGAGATCCGGCACGACTTTTCACTAATTTGCTGAATCAACACTTTAGCTTGTTTAAGGCCAGGTCTACTGTTCCCGGCCTGATTGAAGTGGCTGGCTTTCATATCCCAAAGAAATCCAAAACTTCCTGATGATCTTCAGGCATTCATCGATGAGGCAGAACATGGTGTAATCTACTTTGCTTTGGGTATGGAGCAGGAGTGTAAGGATTTGCCAGAGGAAACACAAAACGTTTTGCTAGAGAGTTTCAAATCGATGCCTCAGCGGGTGATTTGGAAGTTTGAGGGTGAACCCCCAAGAGCTTAGCTAGTAACATCTATATATCCAAATTTTTACCACAGCAAGCCATTTTGGCTCACCCAAATGTTAAGCTTTTTATTAGTCATGGTGGAATGCTGAGTACAATTGAGGCTGCCTATTATGCAAACCTGTACTGGGACTGCCTTTGTTCTTCGATCAATTCAGGAATTTGGAAGTCCTGGAGGAAGAGGGTGCAGCTCTGCAGTTGAACATAAACAGCGTGACAGAACAAGAATAAAGGATACTGTGGATCGCCTGGTGAACCAACGAAAATTCGGAGAAAATGCCTTGGCTGTTTCTCAAAGATTTCGGGATCAGCCCATGCATCCTTGGAACGGCCATCTATTGGACCGAATACGTCATACGCTACAAGGGAGCCAATCATATGAAAGTATCTCAATCTCAGGTGAAGCTGTTCGAATACTATTCCCTGGACAAGGTATTGATGGTCGGAATACGGTTAACCCTGGTGGTGGGCATACTTTTTTTGGTTCTTTCTAAAGGAAGGTGTTGCTTAAATTATTTGATCAAATTTGTCAAGCCATTTTTGCCCCTTACTGGCATTCAATCTAATAACGATGTGATAAGTTAAAGAATTTGTATACTTAAGTGTTGTTGATTTTAAGGATAACTTTTAATTAAAATAGTATTATACTTTATCTGTTTCAAAATGTATATATTTTTAATATTTAAAAAAAATTACATTTTGTTAATATGTTACGTGGTGTGTCAATTTATTTAAAATACGAATATATAAGGGGTGTTGACGAACTGCGCTGTTGAATGGTATATTTTGGATTCGATTATAATTATTTTATTGGTTTTTTATGTTGATTACAGCAGGGACAATGAATGATAAGCATAGTGGTAGCTTTATCTAATCTTAATTGCCCCTTTATTTATGATTGTTTTTAAGTGTTTATGGACTTATTTTTGGAATGGTGCAGGGCTTGTGTCTTGTGCTGCTTTGTATAATTAAACCCTGAAATATTATTAATTTGAATTAATTTCACTTTAACATTTGCTAATTTTAAAAAGCTTAATTGGTTTTAATAAACAAACCTCATATCATTTAAGCTAACTCTTAAAACTAAATAAACCAATTTTTAATTAAGTGTAGGGTATATATATTTTCACAGCTCTCTGAGCAGAAAAACCGTGTTCAATTAAAAGTTCGAGTAAACAATAACAACTGGAGAGTTTGTCAATTAGAGAGTCAAATAGCGATAAAGCGAGAGCTCAAGAGAACCAAATTGAGAAAAAGAGCACTATTTTATTCTCTTATCGATTGCATAACAACTGAGTTTTGTATGTAAACAATCAACAAAGTTTTTTGAGTCGAGCCGGGGACGCCAAAAATAATATATGTGCATAAAATTTAAAATACAGATAGAGTGAATTTCGTTGTGTATAAAAAAATTAGCTTCTGCCTCGCTTCACTGAATTCCTTTGTGTAGAATGAGCAATTTTGGGCGATGCTTTTGATCGGCGCTCACCGATAATTATATGTAGAAAAGTTTTAATGTTTGATTAGTTGTCGTTCATCAGCGAATCGCTGTGGTTGCTACTGAAATGGGAATAATTGGTTCTGGAACTGGTTTGAGCCTTCTGCTCTTTGGCTTGCTATTTCTGTTCAGCACCACTGCCGATGAAGGGGTTCAAATTCCCGCATTTTGACCGGTGTTTCCCTTCCCGGCCGATCGCAGTACATATTTGCTGAGCATATCTCAAGGAACTGGCCAAAAGAGGTCATAATGTTACCGTGATCAATACGTTTGGTAGCCATAAAACCGAACCCAACTTTCGGGTTATTGGTGCTAAAAAAATTCATGAAATAATGGCAGGTGAGAATAGCTTTAAAAGTAGTCATGATGCAAGAAGGGTATCGATATAAAACTTTAAAACACTAAAAATGTTTTCGCTTTAAAACTCTTTAAACAAAGCTTAATATTTCAGCATTTGGAAATATGGATTACAGCCAGCGGCAAGTAAGTGGAAAGTCTTGACAATGACCACGGAGTTCCTGAATCTTTGACCACCAGTGTTCTGGATGATCCAGCTGTAAAGGATTTGTTGAACAGCAGGGAGAGTTTCGATTTGGTTATCATGGAAACGGTTCAAAACGAAGCTCTCTTCGGGTTAGCCCAACATTTTGGTGCCCAGACCATAGGAATCTCATCCTACGGAACAGACACTCATATCGATGAGTTGATGGGCAATATATCCCCATTATCCTATAATCCATGTTGCTATCATCGCGAACAGAACGAATGGATTTCAAGGAACGCCTGCAGAATGTGGTGGAAGCTTCAGTAATGTGGCTGCACAAAAGGATTGTTCACCTTCCCACTCAGCGGGATTTGTATGCGAAATACTTTCCATCAGCCAAGAAATCCTTGGAGGAAGTTTTGGATAGCTTTTCACTAATGCTGCTGGGTCAGCACTTTTCGCTAAGTTATCCACGTCCCTATTTGCCCAATATGATCGAGGTGGGAGGTCTGCACTTGCAACAACAGCGAAAGGTTCAGCCCTTACCGCAAGAATTAGCGGATTTTGTAGAGCAATCCGCTCATGGAGTAATATATTTCTCCATGGGTTCTAATATCAAGAGCGTCGATTTACCGCCAGCCACTCGTCAAGTTCTAATGGAGACATTTGCCAGTCTGCCCCAACGGGTTTTGTGGAAATTCGAGGATGATCAGCTGCCTGAGAAGCCATCGAATGTGTTTATAAGCAAGTGGTTTCCTCAACCGGACATCCTGGCCCATCCGAATGTGAAACTATTCATCACCCACGGTGGTTTATTAGCACCATCGAGAGTATTTATTTTGGAAAACCCGTCTTGGGTCTGCCAGTTTTCTACGATCAGCACTTGAATGTTCAGAGGCCAAGCAGGCGGGCTATGGTCTTAGTGCGGATATATGGAGTCCAATGCCACAGAACTCACTTCTCTGATCCAGGAACTGCTGAATAAGCCCAGTTATGCGACAGCAGTTCAGATTAAATCAAATTATTCCGAGATCAAAAGGAAACTGCTTTGGAGCGAGCCATCTGGTGGACCGATACGTATTGAGCACAAGGGCGCCAACCACTTGAGATGTGCCTCCCGGGATCTGGACTTTATTCAGTTTCACAGTCTGGATACCTGGGGTCTGATCTTCGCAATCACTATTGCGTCTCTACTGAGCTTCGTGACTGCACTGAACTACCTTCAAAGGGGTCTCAGTTATGTCATCTCAAAGCTCCGTAAGGGGTCTAGTAAATTGAAGACCCAGTAACCAATTAAGTTCCATTAACTAGTCGAGTTTATGCCGCCACCGATCTTTATATACATTTGAAATTATTTGTTTTGTTATAAGCACTTATAAATACTAATCCTAAGTAATATTTAATTCCAATTAAAACATATAAAATGAAGACAAAAATGGTTTATATATTGGTGAATGGTTGGTATTTCTTTTTTTAAAACTCATTATTATAAGCCCCTTGTAAGGGTAACTAAATGTTAATATTCACAACTAAAGAAACTACTGTCAAATCGTCAAAATTATCAATATAAACACTTAAGTGCACGCATGACCATGCATTTTTTAACAGTTGTATAGAGCCATCACTATCAAAAGCAACACACTTAAAAAAATAGTTGTAGACATAAGTAAAGGAACTCGCAATTTTGTGTTAAATTTTCTTTATAAATCTAGACAGTATTTTTGTATTTAGAACTAAAGAACAGAACTTACTTACTTTTTCCCAACTGTAGGCCATTGTAAATTCAGTAGAGCAGTGCAATGATGATTTTTGATTGTGAGATAGAAGGGGATAAGATAGGAAACAAAGTAGCGATGGGGTGCGACGTTGAGATGTGGGCGCCTACGAAATTTCCGTAATCGCATATGTCGTGAATTTCTATCGCATGTCGGTGCCTCGGGGCGTTATCTAATAGCCCCATACTATGTTGCAATGTGCGTTTACTGATTCAGTGTACAGCTTGAGTTTGCGAAGACCAGACGATCTTTTTTAGGATGTTGGCTCTACAACTAAGTGCTCTGCTGCTGGTTCTGCCTGCTTGTCTACAGGCTGCTAGGATACTGGCCATATTTCCCTTCCCAGGACCATCGCAGTACATTAATGTGGTACCCTATCTGAAGAAACTGGCTTCTCGAGGTCACCAGGTGACCTCGATCAATGCCTTTCCGCAGAAGAAACCGGTGAATAATTTTAGGGACATTCCCATTCCGGAAGTGTTTGAGAATTATAATGGTAAAGTATTTTAAATATATCTGTCATGTATATATTTATTAAAAGACAAAAATGTTCTAGATCTCATAAACGAGCTGAACGATCCTATGAATTTGTGGGAGGAGAACAACTTTGTAAATAAATTCTTTGTGGACATTACCCGCTTAGTTCTCACCAACAAGGAAGTGACAGAAACCCTTTTGCCTCCTGGAAAGGTCACTATGATCTTATCATTGTGGAGGCCATTCGCTCGGATGCCTACTATGGATTTGCGTCCCATTTTAATGCCCCTATCATAGGAATTTCCACCTTTGGCACCGACTGGAATATTGATGAGCTGGTTGGCAATGTATCGCCTCTATCGTATACTCCTCTGGTAACAGCGGGTCTTACGGATCGCATGACTTTCGGGGAGCGTGTGACCAACTTTGTGGAAACTACAATTGCCTGGCTCAACTATAGATGGAAATGGATGCCAGAGCAGGAGAAATTGTACGCGAAATACTTTCCGGTGGCTTCAAAACGGGTTCCTCTCACCGACTTGAACAGGAACTTCTCTTTGGTGCTCCTCAATCAACACTTTTCCCTGAGCTTCCCTCGGCCCTATGTTCCTAATATGATCCAGGTTGGAGGTCTGCATATATCCCACAAGCCAGCTCCTTTGCCAAAGGATTTGGATGAGTTCATTCAGGGTTCCGGGGAACAGGGTGTGATCTACTTTTCCCTAGGATCCAATGTTAAGAGCAAGGATCTTCCGGCGGAGAGAAGAGAACTTATCCTGAAAACCTTTGCCAGTCTGCCGCAGCGTGTTCTGTGGAAATTCGAGAATGATCAGTTGCCTGGGAAACCCTCCAATGTTTATATTAGCAAATGGTTCCCTCAGCCGGATATCCTGGCCCATCCCAAGGTCAAGCTCTTCATTACCCACGGCGGCTTGCTGAGCACCATCGAGAGCATTCATCATGGTAAACCCGTTTTGGGCCTGCCCTTCTTCTATGATCAGTTCTTGAATGTAAAACGGGCCACTCAGGCTGGATTTGGATTGGGATTGGATCACAAGACCATGACCCAGCAAGAATTCAAAACGACCATCGAGCGATTGATCAAGGAGCCTCAATTTGCGGAAACGGCCAGGAAGATGTCCGATAGATATCGGGATCAGCCAATGACTCCTTTGGACACGGCTATCTGGTGGACTGAGTATGTTTTACGACACAAAGGAGCTTACCACATGCGAGTGGCTGGCCAGGATTTGGGTTTCTTCGCCTACCATAGCTTGGATGTCATTGGAACCCTCTTGGGCGGAGCGCTCCTAGTTCTTTCGATCATTTTGTATGTCCTTTGGAAAATTGCAAAGTTAGCTGGATTTGCCAACTCTAAGAAAAAGCAAAAGACACACTAAGAAGGGGTCGGAAATCGGAATTCTATAGGTTGGCAATGTTCAAAATAAAAAATTAATACAATTTTAATTATTAGGTATAGGTAAATAAAGAGAGATAAAAAATATATTTTAGCTCTTGCTTATTATTAATTATTTCTAAAGGTCAGAAACAATATGGTTGGAGATTTACATTCCACCTAGGAAGCTTACCTTCCATAATGTAAGCTAATCAGAATTGGAACTTGATAATTTATGGGTTGTAGGTGATTGTTAATTGTTCTTATCGATGAAAACCTATATTTTGGGTGATTTCTACCAGACAGTCTTCCTGTAGAGCACGAGGGTAACGCACGCCCTGTCTGGGAATGTTGGGTCTGAGATTGTTCGTCTTGTTGGTGGCCTTCTGCCCGGTTTCTTGGAAGGAGCCCGTATCCTGGC